GCCCTCATTCAGCCAGGAGGAGGCAGGAGAAGAGGGAGGGTAAGTTGCTTCCTCCCTGCCTCTCCCCACCCCTGCCTGCCTGGGGCCAGGGAGGGCCTTTGTGGGGCTTCCTTGCACGCACGCCGGCCTTGCAGGTCCACCGCCGGGCCCCTCATGGGGCTCGGCAGTGGAGCTCCAAGGCCAGCGGAGGCGGCCGGGACCGTTGGGGGCGGGGTGTGTGGCCTTATGACACACTTCCGGTGATGTCAGGGGGCGTGGCATATGCTAATGAGTTATGCTCATGAGTTCCCCTAGCTCTTTTTCTACGAAACGACCCCTGACCGTGGCTGTGAACCATAGCAAACAATCCGCTTGCAAGACTTGCTCCGTGTGCCTCGATGCAGCACTCCCACAGAGAAGCGAGTTCTCTTCCAGTCAGACGTGACTTTCTTGGGAACGGTTTCCATTCCCAGAACCTGGCAGGCTTCACTTCCCCAGAAACGCTGCCGCTAAAGCAACCTGCAAATCTCACCAGCGTTAACATGTTGGATTTGGTGGTTTCCAGTAGAGGAGGCACCCTGGAGAATTTGGGGACTGAGTTTTCACTTTCTAGGTTGCAACCTTTTGTCTGTCCTGAATCTACTGCCCGTCAGCTTTGGGCATCCAATGAAGCTTATGGGCTCCGGATTCAGGACAGACAAATGGAAATACTTTACATAGGGAGTGATTAAAAGGTGGGATTCGCTGCTGGAGGATGCAGTGATGGCCACAGGCAGGGAGGACTTTAAAAGGGGACTAGACATATTAATGGAGGACAGGTCTATCCGTGGCTACTAGCCATAATGACTAAAGGAAGCCTCCCTATTCAGAGGCAGTCAACCTCTGAATTCCAGTGCCGAGAGGCAATGTCAGGGGAAAGGCTCGGCCTCTATACCATATTGTTGGCCTTCCATAGTAACTGGTTGGCCACTGTGTGAGACCAGATGCTGGACTGGATGGACCCTCACTGGCCTGATCCAGCAGGGCTCTTCTGAGGTTCTTCTCAGGGGAAGGCCTCGGCCTCTCTGCCCTGTTGTTGACCTTCCAGAGGAACTGGTTGGCCACTGTTTGAGATGGGATGCTGAACTGGATGGCCCTCACTGGTCTGACCCAGCAGGGCTCTTCTGGTGTTCTTATCAGGGGAAGGCCTCGGCCTCTCTGCCCTGTTGTTGACCTTCCAGAGGAACTGGTTGGCCACTGTTTGAGATGGGATGCTGAACTGGATGGCCCTCACTGGTCTGACCCAGCAGGGCTCTTCTTTCTTATCAGGGGAAGGCCTTGGCCTCTCTGCCCTGTTGTTGGCTGTCCAGAGGAACTGGTTGGCCGCTGTGTGAGACCGGATGCTGAACTAGATGGACCCTCAGTGGTCTGACCCAGCAGGGCTCTTCTGATGTTCTTATCAGGGTAAGGCCTCGGCCTCCATGCCCTGTTGTTGGTCCTCCGGAGGAACTGGTTGGCCCCTGTGTGAGGCAGGAGGCTGGACTAGATGGACCCTCACTGGTCTGATCCAGCAGGGCTCTTCTTATGTTCTGATGTTCTCAAGCCGACAATGTGGCTCTCCCTGCCGAGGAACAAGTCCCGAGAATCTTTATAAAAACACCCCGTCCTGAGTTTTTTGAAGCATCGGTTTCCATTTGCTGCTCTCTGACTTGTTTCCGCTTGCGGACAGACTTGAAGACTTGGTCAACAGCAGCACCCAGTGGCTCGAGGAACTACTGCAGAGAGAGAGACTGCTGTCAAACACACAGATAAAATCCGTGTCCTGTAGAATGAGGGGCGACCAAAATAACATTCGAACCACACACAAGCTGCCGAGTACTACCGAACGCTTTGCCAAGCCGAATGTTACGCTCGGCAGGTTTGAATTGACCGATGGAAGCATCGGTTTCCATTCGCTGCTCTCTGACTTGTTTCCACTTGCGGACAGACTTGAAACCTTGGTCAACAGCAGCACCCAGTGGCTTGAGGAACTACTGCAGCGAGAGAGAGAGACTGCTGTCAAACACACAGATAAAATCCGTGTCCCGTCTTGAATGAGGGGCGACCAAAATAACAATCCAACCACACACAAGCTGCCGAGTACTACCGAACGCTTTGCCAAGCCGAATGTTACGCTCGGCAGGTTTGAATTGACCGATGAGGAGACGAAGAATTGTAAGGCAAGGGTCTTTGGAGGCAGCAGAAATAAGTCGGGGACGCTCAGTAAGGAAAAGGAGGCAGCATAACAAAAGGTCACCTCATAACACTATAGGGACGTGTCTTTACAGGGGTGACATCGAAGGGATCTCCGTAAAGCACTCAAATGTTCCAGAGAGCAAGAATTCATGTCATTGGTGGGCGAGTGCCATGGGGGGAGGCAGTCAATTAAGATTATGCTGGAGACAAATTTACGTTTGGATCCTCCATATGCTTTGCAGGCATGCATAAAAATATTTTAACAAAATACCACTCACCAGAGGAGAAGACCATGGCCTCGACAGCGCTGGTCACCAAGGAGGTGGCCTGCAGTGCCACGTTCAGCCACACAGGGTCACTCTAGCCTCGTTAAGGACGCTGCACCCATTTGGCTGGACCCTGGCGAGAGAAAACAAGCACTTTTCCTTCCGCCTGCAGAAATGCAAAATCCGGTGATACTTCATTGCTGAACACAGACACACCTTTGGAAAGAGCCAGTTTGGGGCAGTGGTTAAGAGCGGAGGACTCTAATATGGAGAACCGGGTTTGATTCCCCACTCTTCCACGTGCAGCTGCTGGGTGACCTTGGGTCAGTCACAGGTTCTTTCAGCGCTCTCAAGAGCAGTCCTGGAAAGAGCTCTCTCAGCCCCACCGACCTCACAGGGTGTCTGTTGTGGGGAAGGGGGAGGGAAAGGAGATTGTAAGCCGCTCTGAGACTCAGAGTAAAGGGCAGGGTATCAATCCAATTTCTTCGTCTCCTTCTCTTCCCTGCCTGAGACCCTTCTCATCATAAAACACAGAGGCCCGTACAGAAAGAGCAACTTCACAGAAAACCAGTGGGCATTACAAATAGGGTTGCCGTGTCCCTACCTTTCGCCAGCAGGGGGCTCCAGAGTCCTCCTCTGGATATTCATGGGTGTGCCGTGATGACATCCCCCGAAAGTGATGTCATCGCACTAGGCATGTTGAGGAGGGACACTCTAGGATTCGGCCCAAAACTCTATGGTCACCACAGAGTTTTTGGTTGAACGCTAGATCATCCCCCCGTGACGTGCCCAGCGCGATGACGTCACCTCTCTGGGTGAAGACATTGCACTGGTCACATCAGGCGCTGTGGAGCTCTTTGGGGGTGGGGGTCCCCCTGCCAGCAGCTGGCGGGCAGGCGGATCGGGGGTCCCAAAATTGGGGGAAACCCCACCCCCATCGGGGGGGGTGGCAACCTCACGTACAAACTGGCTAGAAAGAAATGTCCCAAGGGGAGCTTGATGTTCCCAACCCCCTGGTTTCCTCCAAACATTACATGGGCTGATTTCGCACTAGAGCCGCCTCGATGTTGCGCCGCCGTTTGCCCCGATACTATTGGCCGATTTCACAATGCTATTTTAACCTGCACAGTCAATCAGATCTTCAGCGGCCCACAGAGCCAGAGCCCCACCTGGCCCACGCACTTTCTGAAAACATGTAGTGGACGCCTAGTAAGGCAGGGTGTCAAACATGCGGCCCAGGGGCCAGATCAGGCCCTCGGAGGGCTTCCATCAGGCCCGCAGTGGAACTGGCCATCTCCTGCTTCCAGTTCTACTGCTGCTGCCGCATCATAGCTTGCTTTGCCAGACTCTCTTTAATCACTTAGCCATTTCATGTTTTCACCTGGGTCCTAGACTCAGAACTCTGAGCATGAGATTTCTGTGGTGAATGTCAATCCATCAAAAGTAGGTTTCCAGCTTACAGAGCTAATGTTGTAAGCCTGTTTTTGTTTTAAGTAAAAAAAATAATCTTTGTGTTTGTGTCCTTGATAAAGTTTATATCTCCACTCCCTGGCATTACATTTTATGACACACCCGGCCCGGCCCAACAAGGTCTCATTTATGTCAGATCCGGCCCTCGTAACAAATGAATTCGACACCCCTGCAGTAAGGTGTTGTGGGCACCATGGCTCCCATGGGCACCACATTGGGGACCTACGCTGTGTCGCAAAGTCAAGGTTATTTAAGGTTTATACAGCACTATCCATGTACAGCGCACTGCGCATTGAGCAAGGAACGTTTAGATGCAATCATTCTGTAGAATTTCCTAAAGAGGGAATTGTGGACTTTATAGGGTCATTGTTCTATTCAACCCATCTCTTCAGTTTCTGTCCATTGCTTTTTTGGGGGGGGTCATACTGGCAACCATTCAGAGGGAGTGGTCAAGCTCAATGCTCCCTCTATGGTGTGGAATCTATGGTTTTCCCTCGGATGACTGTGGCCCCACCCCGAACCAGCCCCGTAGCTAGGGCTTTTTTGGGGAGGGGGCCTCAGGGGTGGTGGAGCTCATTAATACAAAGTTAATTACATTAATTCACTTGGGGGCCAGCCCAGGGGGAGGGGGCCTGGAAGAAAAGCTAGGGGGCCAGGCCCCATGGGCCCCACATTAGCTACGGGCCTGCCCCGAACGTGCACGACACGATTGCGTCACCTCCAGGTGACGTGCTTGCGGCACGCGTCCAGAGCGCGCGTGCCAGGAGACCCCCAGGGCCGCCGGGGTGCCTCCCGCTCTAGTGAGAAACCAGCCATGTTCTCGCCACCGAAAAGGCAAGGCGCCAAGACCTTGGCAAAGACCGACTCCCTTCTTTCCCTTGCCGTGAATCTCGACTGACGCAGGGACCTGCCTTTGGAGGGCATTCCAACCATTGCAGTGGGTCGGCCAGGCAAGAAATTGGCTGGGCTGGAAATGTCAATCCAGGGCCCGTCTCTGTGGATCGATCCGGGTCTCCTTTTCCCCCCTCGGGCCCATCCCTCGTGAGGCCGGCTGCTGGGAAGAAAGCCAGTCCTAATCACCGCGTAAGTGCCCAGTCTCAAGGGGCTCCTTCCTGCACAGCTTGAAGGCCAGGGCCAGCGTTAGCCGCTCCTCTGGATTATTCCCTGCAAGAGCATTGGCCAGTGTGGCCTGAAGCTTTTGCGCTGATGGGTGTGGCTGTGAAGCAGGGTTGCCATTCTCCAGGTGGTGGCTGGAGATCTCCTGGGATGAACCACTGGTCTCCAGGCAACAGAGATCAGATCCCCTGGAGAAAATAGCTGCTTTGGAGGGTGGACTCTGTGGCATTCCATCCCACCGAGGTCCCAGCCCTACCCAAACTCTTGCCTGCCCAGGTTCTACCTCCAAAATCTCCAGATATGTCCCAATTATAGTTGGCAACCTGAGAAAACCAGCTTGGCGTCGTGGTTAGGAGCACGGACTCTCATCTGGGAGAACCGGGTTTGATGCCCCGCTCCTCCACATGCAGCTGCTGGTGTGAACTTAGGCCAGTCACAAGTTCTCTCAGAGCTGTTCTCTCAGGAGCAGTCCTCAAGGGAGCTCTCTCAACCCCACCTACCTCACAAGGGTGTCCGTTGTGGTGAGGGGAAGGGAAAGGAGATTGTGAGCCAATTTGGTGTAGTGGTTAAGTGTGCAGACGCTAACCTGGGAGAACCAGGTTTGATTCCCCACTCCTCCACTCGCACCTGGCTGGATGACCTTGGGCAAGCCATAGTTCTGATAAGAGCTGTTCTTGAAAAAAGAGCAGTTTCTGTCAAGAGCTCTCTCAGCCCCACCTACCTCACAGCCCAGGGTGTCTGTTGTGGGGAGGGGAAGGGAAAGGAGTTTGTAAGCAGCTCTGAGACACCTGTGGGTAGTGAAGGACGGGGTATAAATCCAATCTCTTCTTCTTCTTCTTCTTCTTCTTCTTCTTCTTCTTCTTCTTCTTCTTCTTCTCTGAGACTCCTTTGGCTAGCGAAGGGCGGGGTATAAATCCAATCTCTTCTTCTTCTCTTCTTCTCCAGTGACTGATTGCTGGCCACTTCTCTTGGAGTCTCGGAGCAGCTTACCATCTCCCGTGAGGTAGGTGGGGCTGAGAGAGTTCTTTCATGGACTGCTCTTGGGAGAACAGCTCCAAGAGAACTTGTGACTGACCCAAGGTCACCCAGCTGGCTGCATGTGGAGTGGGGAATCAAACCCGCTTCTCCCAGATTAGAGTCCACGCACTTAACTACTACACCAAACTGGAACAGAGGAGCCCTCCTTTCGAAGGGGATTCCTTGCCTTTGACGAAGATTTGTGGGCTTACGGGGTACCCTAAGGCAAGGAGGCCTGTCTGCCAATGGCACCTGCCCGCTTGCTTCCTGCCCAGGTTCCAGGTTCCCTGGGGCAGAGCAACCTTTGTAACAGGGCTGCCAACTCCAGGTTGGGAAATAACCTGGAGAATTTGGGGGTGGAGCCTGAGGAGAGAGGGGTTTGGGGAGGGGAGGGGCCTCAGCGGGACACGATGTCATGGAGTCCACCTTCCAGAGTGGCCATTTTCTCCACAGGAACTGATCTTCGTTGCCTGGAGATCCGTTACGGTCCCCAGGTCCTGGCAGGGGTTCCCCAGCCCAGTTTTCAGGGCTTCTGCTCACCGCCAGCCAGCTGGGGAAACCCCGCCCCCAAATCACAGAGTTTTGCCTCAGACCACAGCATCGCAGTGTGATGTTTTTCGACATGACGACAGCTTCCAGAAGTGACGTCATCATGTCGGGGAAGTCATACGGCTCTATGGCCTGTAGCTGGTTTTACCATAGAGTTTTTCCCCTCAGACCAGAGCGTTGCCACATGACATCCCCGATGTGATGGTGTCACTTCCGGGTAACATCATTGTGTCAGAAACGTCCTGGAGCGCCTGCCCCCCCACCAGCACGACGAGGGAACATAGTAACCAATTGTCAGCAATGCTGCCATGAGTGTGGTGTGTGTTTCTAATTGCTCTGCATTCCTTCCCATGCGCTTAATTGTATCTTAGCTGCAGGGCTATTTCTGGGCAGGAACGCACAGGGACGGCGTTCTGGCTGGCTCCCAAGTTGGCCACGCCCAGCAGGAACTCATCAGCATAATAGGCCACACCCAACAGCAGAAACTCATTCGGATTGGCTACATTAGGGGTCTGTGGCCTAACATGCAAAGGAGTTCCTGCTACAAAAAAAGGCCCTGGGTTTTGACCACAAACAAGGTAAAACAAGGTAAACAGAATAAGAAGCAAAGGGTGGGTGTGGCTGGATGACCACACTTCTGGTAACATGGGGGTGCGGCCTAATGTGCTAATGAGCTGTGCTGTCAGAGGTGTGGCCTAATATGCTAATGAGTTCCTGCTGTTGGGTGTGGCCTATTATGCTAATGAGTTCCTGCTGGGCTTTTTCTACCAAAAAAGCCCTGCAGTTGTAACGCATATCTCTCAAGGCCACTGGAGGAGTTGGTGTGTCTGGAACTCGTGGGAAGTATCTTACCTTCCCACCTTCTGCAGCCGTTAGTTATCTGCCAAATGCCCCCGCGCGGGAGCCCATCTAATTGGGTACTACATGGGGGTGTGTGTGTGTGCATACGAATGCCCTATATCCTATTATGTGCATAGGTATCCCACCATTCCTAACAGTGTTCATGTTACTGCATCTATAGCTTTTCAATAAAAGTAAAACCTTCCTGGAAGCGTGTACTTCGTTGTTTTGCTGTGGATTCTGACACAGGGGTGCAGAAACACCCTCCTGCCACAGCAGCAGCAAGAGATACAAGAGCAGGCAGGAACCATGTCTACTAGGGTTGCCAACCTCCAGGTAGGGCCTGGAGACCTCCCAGAATTACAATACATCTCCAGACCTTAGAGATCAGTTCCATGGAGGAAATGGCCACTCTGGAGGGTGCACTCTATGGCATTCTACCCTACTGAGGTCTCCTCCCTCCCCAAACCCTGCCCTCCTCAGGCTCCACCCCCCAATCCTAGGACTTTCCCAACCTGGAGTTGGCAACCCAAGTGTCCACACACCCCGAGGTATCAGATTACTCTCCGCTGCTGCCCCCACCCCTGTTCTTCCTCCTGTGACCCCCAAACTCCCCCTTTCCCTTCTCTTTCCCGGCGGGATTTGAGGTGGGACCTCAGTTGGGTGTACAATGCCATAGAGTCCGTGATCAGGCCAGTGGCCCATCCAGTCTAACACTCCATGTCACACAGTGGCCAAAACCCAGGGGCCATCAGGAGGTCCACACACAAACACCCCAGCACCAAGAAGACAGATCATCACCGCCCTGGACATAAGAATGTAAGAAAAGCCATGCTGGATCAGGCCAGTGGCCCATCTAGTCCAACACTCAATGTCACACAGTGTCACAGTGGCCAAAACCCAGGGGCCATCAGGAGGTCCACCAGCAAGGCCAGAACTCAAGAAGACTCTGGCCCCCCCAAGCACCAAGAAGAAAGAGCATCACTGCCCCCAGACATAAGAACAAAAAAGAAGCTATGTTGGATCAGATCACACAGTGGCCAAAACTCAGGTGCCATCACGAGGTCCACCCACAGGACCAGAACTCCAAAAGCCTTCCCACTAGGGCCCGCCCAAGCACCAAGAAGACAGAGCATCACTGCTCCAGACATAAGGACATAACAGAAACCATGCTGGATCAGGCCAATTGCCCATCCAGTCCAACACTCGGTGTCACACAGTGGCCGAAACCCAGGAGCCACCAGGAGGTCCACCAGCGGGGCCAGAACTCCAGAAGCCCTCCCGCTGTTGCCCCTCAAGCACCAAGGATACAGAGCATCAGTGTCCCGGACATAAGAACATAAGAGAAGCCCTGTTGGATCAGGCCAATGGCCCATCCAGTTCAACACTCTGTGTCACGCAGTGGCCAAAACCCAGGAGCCACCAGGAGGTCCACCAGCAGGCCCAGAACTCCACAAGCCCTCCCACTCTTGCCCCTCAAGCACCAAGGATACAGAGCATCAGTGTCCCGGACATAAGAACGTAAGAGAAGCCCTGTTGGATCAGGCCAATGGCCCATCCAGTGCAACACTCTGTGTCACACAGTGGCCAAACCCCAGGGGCCATCAGGAGGTCCACCAGCAGGGCCAGAACTCCAGAAGCCCTCCCACTGTCGCCCCCCAAGCACCAAGAAGACACAGCATCACTTGCCCCAGACAGAGTGTTCCATCTAGACCTTGAGGCTAATAGCCACTGGTCGATCTCTGCTCCAGATGTTTATCCAATTCCCCCTTGAACCTGTCCACGCTTGCAGCCACCACCACTACCTCTGGCACTGAATTGCACATGTTAATGACTCTTTGGGTGAAGAAGGACTTCCTTTTATCTGTTCTCAACCTACTGCTCCTTAATCTCATGGAGTGCCCACGAGTTCTTGTATTGTGAGGAAGAGAGTAAAGTACTTCTTTCTCTACCTTCTCTATCCCATGCATCATTTTGTCAAGCAGTGTGGTATAGCGGTCAGAGTGCCAGACGACAGTCTTAGAGACCCAGATGACCTGGGGCCCGGCAGTTCAAAAGCCACAGGAAGTGGTGGCGGCTACAAGCATGGACGGCTTCAAAAGGGAATTAGATAAGCATATGGAGCAGAGGTCCATCAGTGGATATTAGCCACAAGGTATAGATAGGGGCTCTGGGGCAAGTGATGCTCTGTCTTCTTGGACGTGGACGGGCGCCAGATGCCACGGGATACTAGCGCTCCCGCGATCAGACGCCCGCCCCTGCCCGCGTTTTTCTGGATGCTAGTGCACTTTCCTTGGTACTTTTTAACTCCG